CAACCCGTATATGCATAGCTGGTTTCATGGCCTGTCGCCAGCTGAAGCCAGGAAGCCAGGAAGCCAGAGTTTAGCCATGGTCGGCTTCGATGGTCACCCAACTCTTCCGCACGGCACCCTCAACCCCAGTACCGTCTCTTCTCACCTCTCCCACTACCACATCTCCACCCTGCCCTACGTCGCCTTACAAACCTTCTTATGACCTTTCCAATCCACCTTCTGACACTCCTGCGAGCAATATCTCGCCTTCTTACACTTTCCACAAGCCGAGAAAACCTTCCCATCCTTCGGGCCCCTCCCGCAGTTCGTGCAATCCCCCTCTTTTCTCGGTCCCTTGCCCTTCTTGAGAACCGCAGCCAGAGCCGGCACCTTCATACCCATCATCTCCACCAATGTCTTGATAGTCATACCATCGTTGTCTTTGCTGTCGACGTCACCGCCATGCTCAACGTACCACTTGAGCATCTGCACGTTCTTGCTCGTGTCGCCGTGAATATCGGCTTGGGCGATTTCAGAGCCTGGCGTCGCGCCGAAACGGTTCTTCGTGTTGACGGAACCGCCAGCGTCGAAGAGGATCTGCGCAAATTCGGGTTGCACGTAGGGTTTGGTGGAGATGGCCCAGAAGAGGGCGGTGCTGCCCACGACGTCCTTACCGTCGACAGGTACTTTGAGATCATTGGCTAGATATTTTACGACGCCCAGTAATTCTTGCTTCTTGTTTGGCATCATATGCAGCGCTGGCAAGAGTACACCGTAGACGGTTGTTTTCGTGGGCCCCCATCGTTTAGCGTAGAGATCGTTCCTGAACGTCTCACGAGCTTCCTCGGTGCCGCCGAGCTGTTTGATCATCATTTCCGCGTAGTTTTGTAGCGCGTCGAATTCTTGGTTGAATATAGAGAGGAAGGTCTGGCCGACTGGGTCCTTGAGGTCACGACTGGGCACTGTAGGGTTTTTCTGGCTCCAGCCGCGAAGCTCCATGCCGTCCATGCCCGCGAGCTGGTCTTCGGAATTGATCATGTCTTCCAGGGTACTTGGTGCTATACATTAGTAACTCATTGGAGCTTCAGAGGGTGTGTGCGCTATATACCGGTCTGACCGCCCTTGCACCTGCATGTTCTGCAACATTTGCATGAATTTAGCCGACATGTTGTATGTTGTTCAATTGATAGATTGGAGGAGAGTTTGTGTGGGCGCAGTCGTATGAGAGTGATGTTGGATGGCAGGATGTGGAGCGGAGGGGTGACGGCGTGGCCCTTTCGCGCTTGGAGCTATCGATAGCACACGCGACTTCACGTGTTTCATCCACAACGCGCAGTCGCTGGTCCGACAGCTGGAGTATTTGGCGTCTTGTCTGCACCCGAGTCACTACTTCTCATGGGCAATCAAGTTCGGGAACAATTTTTGGCATCGGTATATATTGGTAACGAAGAAGCGTAGCAGCTCAAATGAAACAGTCATTCCGATAAACGCCGGTCTCGAACTCCGCATCCAGATGCAAAGTTTGTCCAGCTCGCCAGGGTGGAAGGTATCGTATATCCAAACGCCAATGAACGTACAGGTATCACCAGATTCACGTCAGACCCAGTCACATTCCGTGTTCTAACCCAACAAGTATCTACTTCTTCAACGCGGCGTCGTAAAGGCTGACAAGTATGCCAACCAGCGAGCCAATTTGCAGCCCGTAGTATCCTCCCGGGACATTATTTCCTACGCGCGCAACCGCGTACTCGGAGAAGGGACCCCAGGCACTTGGCGCAAATGCCATGTTGACAGTTTCCCGGTAGGCATTGTACGACAGGACTGCCCGCGCAATGTTGAAGATGAGCGGGTCAGCGGGGTATTGGCGCTCGGAAGACTTGCGCGAGGTGTTTGATCGAAGGGTCAAGTTGAAGAAGTATGAGAACATCAGTGGTAGCACCCAGCTCGTCAGCGACCAGAGGGTAGCTGGTGCCCACCACTCGGCTGAGAGCAGCGCCCAGAAGTTTGGTCCTCGAACGTCTTGACTGCTCGTGTATGAGCCCAGGGCGGCGGGTGTAGCGAATAATGGAGTGGTGTCGAGCGTGTTGTACTGTAGTCCTACAGCTTCGACAAGCAGGATGATAGTTTGGATGGTAGCGACCGAGCTTGCGTTTTCGCGAACGAACTCCTTCAGCTCATCGATCCTGGTCCTGTCCCACAGCTCGACAGCCTTTGTCTGGACTACTTGGAAAGACTGGTCGGCGACCTCAGCGAGTTGGGCAGGCGATGCGGGAATGTCCACTTGATTGTATAGCTCGGAAACGCGACGAGAGACAGCCTTGGGTTCGGCTTGAGCAACCACCTCGGAAACGCGACGGGACATGGCCTTAGGTTCGGCTTCAGCGACCATCTCGGAAACACGTCGAGAGACGGATCTCGGCTTGGGTGTACGCGCGACAACGCTGCGGATTTCTGGTGTAATGATGGGGGTGGACTCTGGTCTGCGCGTTCGTTAGTCTCAGCGCGTCGCGCGTCGCGTATCCAAGTTTGACATACGAGGGGTCTTTGTTAAGAGTTCGGCGTCGCGTCGTCTTCGTGATGAAGGGTTCCGGCGAAGACTTTTCGCGCTTTACTGGCGACCCATTGCGCCCGTAGTAGTCGCTAAACTCAGGGAGTTTGGCAAAGGTGCTCTCATTGGAGTTGAGATGGCTCTCAAGCAGGTCCACGAGATCGTCTTTCAAAAGGCCATCTGCACTGCAAATGGCTTGTTAGTATCGCATACACGCGCAGGATCGATTCCAGCCTACTCGGGAAGTCTAGCCTTCTGCGCAAGCTCGATCAAGTCAGCTTTGCGCTTCCTCTGAAGCCAAGAGTGAGACATTGTGAGTGGTATAGATCAAGTCGCGTAAAGCTTGCGATCAAAATGGGTCAAGAATGCAAGCGGAAAAAGCGTCGTGGGCAAAAAAGGTGGGGGCGGTGTGGTGTTGATCGGATGCAGAGAGACTCTGGATGTAAACACGATGGCTGGGGCTCACGTGGGTCATCTGGGCGCTAACTGTTGCAGGGCTTAGCCTACAAAATACATTGATCTGCAGCAACACCACGCTGTCTCTGAGCAAGATGCGTTGTCTGCCGTCGTTTTGGTGGCATTCGCGTAGGTATAGCTTAGGTAGTCTTAACTGCATCAAGCCGTCGTCTGGTCCCCGTGCTTCTGATAGCTGATAGCCAGGGCTTGCAGGGATGTGGCTGCGCAGCTCCGGTCTTGGCCGAAATTTTCCAGACGCAACATCATCGCACGGCCGCAGCGGCAGCAACGTCACTCTTTGAAGATACCCTTGCACATACCAAACTTCTCTATACTCGTCTTTCTTCAACCCACCCCAGTGCACCGCTGCCATTGAAGCGCTCATGGTACTTGCCCGCGTGGCCAACTTCTTCACAAACGGAGACTCTACCACCAACCTGACCGACGGTAGCCGGAGACATGGCGCAAGCACAGCACACGCAGTGGAACTTCCCATGGAGGATACCAAGCGGGGAGCCATGGAGGACGAGATAGACGAGGAAGCAGCGCGGCCGCCATACCTACATGTGAGGATGCCTAGTCTGCAGAGATGAGGGATGCCAATTGATCACAAACAGGCAATGCTGGCAGGAGGAATAGGAGGCACAACAGGTGACATGTTGATGCACTCGCTGGATACGGTCAAGACGCGACAACAGGGCGACCCGCACATGCCACCCAAGTACACATCCATGGGCAACACATACTACACCATATGGCGGCAAGAAGGCTTCCGGAAAGGATTGTACGGAGGAGTGAAGCCAGCGTTTCTTGGGTCGTTCTCGGGCACTGTGTGCTTCTTTGGAGCATACGAGTGGACCAAGCGGACCATGATTGACTATGGGGTTGCGCCCTCGGTCGCATACTTCTCAGCCGGTACACCTCCCTACAGATCCACAAAGCCCCGCCATGTACTGACAAACTTCTAGGTCTGCTCGCTGATCTCGCTGCTGCCCCCGCATACGTCCCCTCTGAAGTCCTCAAGACTCGCCTCCAATTACAAGGCCGCTACAACAACCCCTACTTCAATTCAGGCTACAACTACCGCGGCACCATCGACGCCGCGCGAACAATAGCCAGGGTGGAAGGCTACAGCGCCCTCTTCCACGGCTACAAGGCCACGCTCTGGCGCGACCTCCCCTTCTCAGCACTACAATTTGCCTTTTACGAAGAAGAGCGGGACTGGGCGAAGAAGTACATGGGCTCAAACAACATTGGACTGCCGCTAGAAATCGCAACCGCAGCGACCGCAGGCGGCATGGCAGGCGTCATAACAACCCCTCTCGACGTAGTCAAGACGCGCATCCAAACCCAACACAACGGCCCGTCTCCCGCCTCTCCACCCCCACCCAAAGCACCACCCTCGCCCGCCGCGACCTCAAAACACTCCACTTCCTCTCAAACAACTAAGCCAAAACCGACGCAAAGTAGACCAATATCCACATCCTCTCCCTCCACAACCCTCAAAGCCCACGGCGCCGCTACCCTCGACACATCCTCCGTCATGACCGGCCTAAGGATAATATACAAAACAGAAGGAATAGCGGGGTGGTTCAGAGGCGTGGGTCCGCGCGCCGTCTGGACGAGTGTGCAATCAGGGACCATGTTGGTACTATACCAAACGCTACTACGGTATTTCGAGCAACATCCGCTGTCTGGCAGCGAAGATGTGTGAATAGACGTATTTGTACGATTTGTAAGAATAAAGGAAGGAAGCGGGAGAGAACAGCATGATTGAAGATGCGGATTGGGAGGTTTATAGATAAGATGCATTCAGCGGCGTTTACTTGCAGATATAAGCATCGTTGTAGGAACAGCGAGTTTTCGAAGCGATAGAATTGTGCTTTATCAAAACATTTACACTCACAGATACCCAGAATCTTCATGCGCTGACCCTGCGCCTCCCCCTCCGCAAAAGGGTATTGTTCGACCCATAACTTCATTCAACTTCCCCCCGCTCCATCTGCACACATATCCATTACTTCCCTTCCTTGTCGAAAATCGCTCTAGCCTCCTCCTCCCTCTCCTCCTTCCCCCTCCTCTCATCCTCCTCCTCCCTCCTCTCATCCTCCTTCTCCCTCCTCTCATCCTCCTTCTCCCTCCTCTCATCCTCCCTCTCCCTCTCATCCAATTCCTTGTCTCTCCTCTCCGCCTTCTCCACCTGCCACCTCACAAAGCCAACTAGGTTAGGATAAGATATATGCCTCGGCCAAGTGCGTCGCAGCACGCACGTTGCATCTTCAAGTTGAGCATGTTGCTGTTCAGAGAACGTGGCGACGAGGTCGTCCCAGGCGGATGGCTGTATTGAAGGATCGTGGCGCGCGCGGAAGAAGAGGTCGAGGGCGGCTTCGACGGCGTCGCGGGGTGAGGCTGTGGGTGTGTTGTTGAGTGGCATGTTGGAGTTTGTGCGGTGTATGAATTCTTGGATACTCTATGCTGAGGCGGATATTGAAAGGGGTGTAAGAAGTATCGTTAAGGGAGCGGCACGGAAAGGCAGATTGTATACCTGCGTGCATTCAAGTTTGTTGGTTCAATGCCGGACTTCAAGATCAAATACGTGAACGCATTACACGCACGCACAGCTTTCATAACGTTATCAACAATCTTGAACATATCCCTATCACATACCAATCTCCCCCCCCCGCCTTTCCATCCACCCCGCAACAAAACCCCATCCTACCTCCCCCTCCTCTCCTCCTGCCCTTCCCCACCAGCCCCACCACCCGCAAGCGTCCCCCTCTTAACCCTCCTAAAGCAAGCAAACTGCACCTTCGTCCCCTCCCTCAACCTCTTCAAGCTCACCCTCAAGCTCCCCAACTCCTCCTGCAGCCTCACTCTCGCCGCATTATCCGTCTTCTGATCCAGCACCTGGTATATATCCGTCTGGATCTGCGACGCCTTCTCTGTAGTGTACGAAGCAAGCGTTTGTGCCATGAACTCCACGTCGAGGGTTGCTTGCATGAGTTGCGGGAGGGAGATGGTGGGGAGGTTGGCGGATTGGAAGGTCGTTATGAGCGAGGTTGTTGTGGCTTCGAATAGGGAGCGGAGGATGCGTGGGGTTAGGGGTGCGGATGTTGTGGACGACTCGGTGTGCACGATTACGAGATCTAGGAGTACGGTGAAAACGTAGGGGCTTGGGTCGCGGTCTGCGACGCTTTTGCGGTTGTCGGGGGGAGGTGCCCAGGTGGGGCTGAAGATGCCGGATTCGATTGTAGAGTGGATCTTTGTGGCGTGGGGTTTTGTGTAGGAGCGGAAGAGTTGGGCGTCGAGTTGGGAGAGGACGTCGCGGATGCGGTTTGTTTCGTCGGTTAGTTGGACGCTGAAGAGGGTTTCGAAGAGGGTGAGGAGTTGGGGGGTTATTTCGGACTGGAAGGCGGACATGTTGGCGAGGGTTAGGAGGAGGCGGATGGACTGTGAGTTGTTAGTAGAGGCTGTACAATGAACAGCATGTATGCTTACCTTCTTGTTGGCATCGACCCTACCCCAGTCGTTGCCATTCTGATCATCTTGCTCGTCGATGGTCAGATCGTCACTCTTGATCTCAAACTCAGCACCCAAAGCTTGTCTGCCTCGCTCCGCACATTCGACCATCCCACTGAGCGTTCTGTACAAGCTGGTGACGAATTGACTTCTAACCATCTGCAGCAGCTTATTGCTCGGTGGTACCACGACGTCCACTCTGGTCTTGCTTGATGCCTCAACGTAGAGGATCTTTTGCAGGTTGTTGAGTAGGAAGCTTTGTACTGCGAGGAAACGCTGAGGCAGGTTGGTGGTATCTTTGCGGTCAACGTGACGAGTCCAGTCCTCCAACACCTTCAACTTCTCGGCATCCGTGTTCCAAGCTGCACATATAGCTTGAATGCAGCGCTCACGGACACCACCAAGGAGCAAGCGCAGTGCTTCGTCGATGCGACCACTGCCTCCTGATTCAGGAACTTGAAGCGATGCAAGTTCGTTGGCGGCGGTGCCTATCAAGACAAGCATCTTGGATAGATAGTGAGATCCCGAAAGCGCATTCGCATTAGGCGGCCAGAAAGCATACTTCTCCCAAGATTCTCCGCGACTAGGTGATGGTGGAGGTGCTTTCGCAGGATCGAACCTAGATCTCGACGCCGACATGGGACTCAATGCTGCGCTCAGTGGTGTTCCGGGCGTGGTAGGTGTCGGGCTCATGGGCAGTGGTGACATGAGCATAGACACATCCTCGATGGGAGGATCTGAGAAGAACGAGAAAAGATGATCCCTTAGGATACTGATGAGCTCGGTCGTACCTCTCTCAAGCTCAGCTTTGTTCTCACTACTCAGGCGGTGGTGAACAGACGACTGGTTGTGATGGCCTGTTGGTAAGTTCCGTTGCGCGCGACCGGAGAGGAACGACTGGACAATCTCCCAGTATTCAACCAGTTCAGCAAGCAACCCAGATTTGTTTGAGAGTAGGGTAGTCATCGATGCATACACGTGTTCCCAGAACTCAGTCACCTTCGGGGTATCAAGCTTCGAAGGCTCAGCGCTGACGTTGCTGCTGGTAGGGACTGAGCGGAGATGCTTTTGCAGCATGCGCATGCTTGGCTTATCGCCGTTCGCCAGATGACGACGAAGGATCTCGATCTCAACGAGCGAATGTTGGCACTTGGAATTGAGCTGGAACTTGAGATGTTCGTAGCGGGAGAGTAACCACACCCAGATGGGGTTCTCTTCCACGCCAAGCTCAAGCATGATTGAGATGATGCTCAGATACTCATCTGACTTGGTATCTTCGGTTCCAGTCTGTAGGTGCGTGAAGTGCGCCGCGGTCAGGCGTTTCCAGGATTCGCGCTTGAAACGCTCGATCTGCCGCTCGACGTCTGACCACATTCTAGCCGTCACAATGACTTGATGTATCTCGGCATCGGTCAGCGGCCTCTGATTAGACGTCGCCTGTTCTACAATGTATCGAGCTTCGTCTGCGTATTTCCTCGCGCGCTTGTATTCTTCGGTGATTGTCTCGTGATCCTTCCGGCGGATGGCATCTTGAATGGCTGATCCTACTTCGAACAACCCTCGGTGATGTTCCACAGACTCCATGATGGACTTCAATGTCTCTTCCCGCTCGCGCCCGTTTAGCGCTGGGCCCCAGACTTCTTCCGCTTTCACTGCGACCTCGGTCAGCGGGACCTTGATTCCGTGTACACCGTATTCGCTCTCCTTGACGAGCGCATTCTTCCTCTTCTCCGCAGGCACCGCGTCAACCATGCCTGGTGTCAGAGAGGCGCTTATCTTTCGGCCGGAGAAGCTTGATCGAGCCCTGGGTCGGCCGGTGCCAGGTTGTAGGTCCTTGTTGGGCGCTTCCACTTGCTCCTTCCCTTGATCCCGCATCTCATTGTATACACGGTCGATTGTAGCTTTAGCGCCTACGAAGCGATCGAAGTTGGATTCAACGAGGACTTTGAGTGAAGCTGACTTCTTCTCGATCGACCGAGAGAGGAAGTCAAGACCGGCGAGGAGGGAGTCGGTAGAGGCTTCATTGTGGACTTGCGAAAGGAAGAGGGAGGGCGAGAAGGTGGTGGAGCTCAAGAGGAAGCGATTGCCTGTGTGTCCATTAGACAGGCCTTGTATGTATTGCTATATCGCTGAAACGTACGCAGCTTGATGTCATCCTCGACCTGTATGTTCTTCGCCCGCAGCACCTGCACTACACTGGGGTACATGCCCAATGGGTCCTGCTCGTCCTTCTGAACCAACGTCTCCACGCCATCTTTCGAGCGCTCTGCTCCCGGAACCTGCCGCGAGAATCTTGCACTGGGCTCTAACACAGAGTATCGTGATTTGGACCGCCGTATCGATTGTTTCGTAGCTTTGGGTATGGGCTCGTCGAACGTATCCTCTTCGTCGGCTTCGTCCTTCTCCTGCGGCCAGGTTGCGGGGTACAGTGTCGTGAGATTGTACTTGTTCAGAATCTCGGTTTCTATAGAGGAACTCATTGCAGCTGTCGGAAGCGCTGTCCGATCACGATCTCTAGAAATGTGGTGGTGCGACCTCGGAATGCTGCGTGTCGCAAGTGGCAGCTCGCTGAGACGCGGTTGCGACCGCCAATCAGGCGCGCGGATGCCTTGGCGGAAGGTGGGCCACCTACAGCGAGCTTGACCTGCATCTTCCAACATCACGAACGACGTTTTTTACTACGATTAGAGCCTGACCATCACATCAAGCCGCCACACATCATTTTTTGTCGTCGTCAATGTTCATTAGTAGCCCTAGGCATAAGATCTGGTGTAGCCATGCAGCATCACAGTCCACCGCTCATCATCGCATGGTGATCCATCAAAGTAATGTATTCATCAACTCCGACTTGATGATCTACCAAGATCAAGGTACTTGCCTCTTGGATGGCTACGAAATCATGAATATCTGAAATGTGCTCGCCATTCATACGCTTATGGGTTGGGTATATGAATTCACCACCATAGCGACATTACCCGTCTCACAAGATGTATTAGGCATTGGCTTTGAGATGCCAGTATCGTCTCTCACCAGTGAGCTTACCATGTACCGCGCCTTTGCCTGGCCTCTCTCCACATGGCGAATCTCTAGCGTCTAGTCTCACAGTAGGCCACTCTCCTAGTATATAACGAGCTCTTTCTACTCATCTAACCTCCATCGCTTTTGTCAACGCCCTCTACTTTCCGTCGTTCAGTAACACATCTTACCAAGTCAACACGATCTACAACATCAGTCACCAAGGCTCAGCACGAACCCTTCACAAGGCCACTGACACCATAAGATGACTCTCCCTCAAGATCCCAAGGAGAGAGCCACCACTTCATCCTTACTTCATGGACCTCTTCGTCTGTAAGCGTGCTATACCTTCCCGTTCTTGGACGTTAACCAGCTAACATTTATAAGCAACTTCAGTGGGGAGTCAGCACGCGAACGCGCCAAAGGCAATCGCCCAGACAAAGTCTACAGGTGGTCCCACGAGAAGAACGGTACACTGGCCAGTAATGTCTCCAGAGTGAAGCATGTCGTGCATGCCGACAACCAAGACCTCATACTACAAGATCACAACGCTTTCCAAGGGCGTGGTACCCTCCAAGCGCCTCTGGATTTCACGAAGGAGCGCATAATGAAACATCTCGACGCAAGGATGACCGGACCCAATCCTACTCCGTTCATTTCCACAACTAGTAGGCTCGGTAAGTCTTGGGCGGATGCTTCATATACGACTCACACTAACGTTCATCAGCACTGGCCGAGAAGAAGGTGAAACATCTACATGACAAGACCAGGAAGGTTCCGCGCTGTCTCGTCGTCACATCCCTTGACATCTCCAAGATTGTCCCTGCGACTCTCACAGCCAATATGACGACTACCACTAATGGGCACACGACCGAGCACAAGGACACCGACCACATTGAAGAAAAGGTATACGATGACCTGGAGATCCCGATATGGGTTCTTTTCCAAGATGATTACGAAGGACCTGCACACGAGCGCCCGGACTGTGAGGTCAACGACGTCTTGGATGCTGGCGGTATCTTCTGGTTCTCAGTGAATGAGTTGAAGGTGTCGGATCTGCGTGTATGGGCGGGCGACGACCACAGGGGTGAATGGTTAGCCGTCAGCAGCATCCCCAAATCTCTCATCGTCAGAGCTATGCCCTTCGATGGCATGGTTCTGCACACATCGAAGACCGCCGAAGTCATCCAAGCCCGCGGTAGCCCGGAACCCTATCTTTGGAATCATGACAACGTCTGTTGGGATCACATGCCGGGTCACACCAAGCACAGCGATCTCGCGGACTACCGTCCTTATCGTGATTCGAAGTTTGGCGATAAGCGGATCAACGATGATGCAAAGATCGCCGCTGCGATGACAGAGAACATCATGACCAACTTCAAGCGTTTCAGACGTGCCAACATCGATGATGCTGTGCGCCCTGATGCCGCAAATGACTTGGACGACGCAGCTACTCGAACACCCGAGAACATGTCGATTGAAGTAGTCATCACTGATCCTCTGCTTGCACGGCACAGGTTCGTACTTCGTCCCCAAGATTACGAGTCTTGAGTTCCCGGTTCAGCCCTGTCACTTCGTCTACGTCGCTGGGGCATAGCTGCTTCAGAGGACCCCACGGGCTGTCAACTGACCAGTCCTACTACCCATTCTCTCCTTCCTCCTTCCGTTTGTTTTCGGTCTTCATTCAAAAGTCTTGCTTGCATGTTCTCCGCGTTCTTGTCGAACGGTCTAGCTTGATCGTACAAGCTGTCTGGCATGACGCTGATGATCTAGGCTATGCGTATGAGCTCCACACTTCGGATAAAGGCTTCTACCGTGGGTTTCAGAAACTACCGTCTAGACACATAGTTGGTCTTCGGGGTAGATTTTGGTTTGGTGAATACATACGGGCAGTTGATGCTTAGCGTGTCTCTTATCCTTGCGTTCCTGCATACATACAAAATTAGCTGGCTATTCCAATTGATGCTTTCTGCGTGTAAACGTCAACTTGACCCAAGTATTTCTCGCAGTGACTTGACAACACGATGTAGGCGTGTGAATCTTGGTGATACTCAGCCCACTTTAATATGACTTCATCGTATCTCCAAATATGCGCAGCTATGAGTGAATTATGCTGTTCCAGGGGAACTATTATGTAGTTAGTCCAACGGGTGCGGGGCGATGTGCAGCGAGATTGGCGGCACGCGACCCCACCAAAAGCCGCCCGGAGCCCCCAGCTCCATGGGCCCTGCATGTGCGGCTGTGCAAGTGGCGAAGGACCGGACGAACCATGATTGCTCTCAGCCCTCGAACCTTCTCTCCTTACACGCCTCTTCCAAGGTCAAAAGCCTTTGGATTCTCCTCCCTATCATTACCTCCCACCACATTACCAGGGAACCTTTTTAGGTAGCACGACTGCATCCGCTGCTACAAAGTCCGCAGAGATGCCTGCGCCACTGGCCAAAGGTGAGTACGGATAACTCCACTTATGCATGTTGCTGCGGTGTCCCCAGCATATCCAACGTTATTTCTCTTGTCGCGTATTCCTCTACTGTCTACTGTACTTTCCTATGCCAACCTGCTTGCAGGCACCGGCCCGCGCTTCGCATCTCCGCAAGGCAACACTCAAACCCCGCCGCACCGTCCTAACCACCCCTTCACATCAGGCCTCATAATCGCCGCGTCCGTTATCGTCGCCGCCGGTATCGCCATCTACGAGTCTCCCCAAGTGCGACAATGGGCCGACCAAACCCGCCGCAAGATCGCCATCGCGCTGCATAACCTTGGCGATGACATTCAGCCTCGCCGCCCGAGCGAATCCTCCGATGACTTCGAGGCCAGGAAACAGAGGAGGGAGGAGTTGATCAGGAGGAATAGGAATGAACTGATCAGACGGGCGAGGGAAGAGGGCATCGCCGTTGATCTGGATGAGCTGGCTCGGATCGGTGCTGAGACGGCTGAGGTGGCTGCCAGGCGGTCGAGGGCTGATCGGACGAGAAGCTTCGACGACATGGTCGGCAGTGATGGCATGCTCAGGGACAACGCGACGGCAACTGGCAAGGACAACTCGAATGGTAATCTCAAGAAGCGTGGTGCTGCTGGCTTTGCCGCCGGCTCTGCTGCCGCTGCTACCATGGCCAACCCCTTCTCCGACGACCAAGTCCTATTCGACCACGACGAAGACGAAGCGCCCTCACCCAAGCCATTCACCTACGAAGAACCTGCCGCCCGCGAAAGCTCCGCTACAATCGTAGCCGACGTCCCCTCCACACCAACCACCGGCACGCTCGTCGATCTAACACCCGATCCCGAGCACTCCCTCCCCGAGACCCCATCGCCCGCGCAACCCGCCCAAGAAGACGCCGACCAAGCCGCCCAATCCTTCTACTCCTTCACCTCCTCGCAAGCAGGCGAAGCCACTCCTTCCCACCCCTTCTTCGACGACAACGACGCCGAGCACCTCTCCACCGGCACCCTAACCCCGCGCTCCGAGCGCTCCATGACCATGAGCGGCTCCGTCGCCTCCCCCCACGCCAACGACATCGCCATCCTCAGCATGCCCAACAGCGAACAAAACGACACAGACCACGACGCGCGTTCAGAAAGCGGGTTTACAGATGCGTTTTCCGAGGGCGGTTTCAGCGAGTTCGACGGCGATAGGCAGGGCATTATGACGCCTACGAGCTGGACGGATGTTGGTAGTGACGATGATAGTGAGTGGGGTGGTGCTGGACAGGCGGGGCATGTGAGTCAGATACATCAGTAGATGTAGATTTGTTGCAAGTTGGGAGAGGGGGTTTCACTTGTTGGCTTCAAAATGATACTATAGGGTGGCACGGCGTTGAAGGGTATACTTGGGATCAGACATGTCCCGGCGTTTTGATTTAGATGGGAATGGGGTCATGGATATCTAGGCAGCTATTATTGCTATCAAATTCTTAACATGTATCTTCGCTAACAAGATCATTCAGTGACCCATTCTGAGCTCCCACCCACTTCTCACAGCTAGGTTGTGGGATCCTGGTGCAACTCTTGCCGTTCCATGGTAGGCGTGTCGTTATCAAACATATGGTGGGACGGCCAGCATATTCCTCGCTGACAAAACATATCAGTGAGCAAGTGCGTCGGTAGATTTCCTTCCATGGTAAGCTCAACGACCAGATGATTTCTATGGGGTGACCCAACCAAAGGGGGCCAATCAAACCATGGGTGTATCTCCGCACGTGAACACTAGCGCACACTGCTGCCTCGCCTCTTGCACTTTATAATCAACGAATCCCAACTCACCGTCGCTCATCCATCACGCTCGTATCTTCTTTTTCCTCTCCTCAATCTCCAGATAACTTCCGTTCTGACCGCAAACTCTCACATGGCGACCACTGGTATTTCCAACATCGTGCATAGCGCACCGCCATATCGATATCGACACAATGTCGCTGACGATTCTGCCGCAAAAGACTACTTCATACACCGCCGCAGGCGTGATCGTGCGGATGCGAATTGGCATAGTGTCCGTCACTGGCCCAATCGTGCTTTTGTATTGATGCCGCTAAAACCACGCAGCAGAACAGAACGTCCCGACAGCCAGAGAGGCCTCACGGATCTGCCTGTGGAGCTTCTCTTGGACATCTTCGACATATTGGCTCCAGTCGATGCACACACTCTCCGTACCGTATGCAAATACACCTGGATGTTATCCGTCACGAACAGAATCGATAACTGCATCAGGGAGCTTCACGACGATGCCGCTGACGAACATGCATGGCGGCTACGCAAAGATCGGTTCAATCGACTTGCCGAATACGAAGAGGCTAACGACGAGTTCAGACGATACACCCCTCGCGACAAGCTTCTTTGCAGCTATTGTGTAGACTTCCATCCACTGTCGGCCTTTGAACCGCTGAAGAGGGAACGCGGCGCTATACTTGCCAACCAGAGGCAATGCATAGCATCTGCAGCCACAATCTACTTCTGCCCGCACAGACAAATGGCATTTGAAGACCTAATCAGGCTATACAATTCTCCGGAGCAAGAGCGTCAATGTCCTGCTTGTGTGCGAGTCGGCAACTCTGCTGTCCTGTTACTCAAGCGGGTGCATGGCTTCACACTGATTCGAACAATCCCAGTCTCTCGGCTAAGCGAAGAAACCATCTCGAATACACTCCGAGCACATAACCACAGTCCTGCATTGGTACCTTGCAACATTTGCGAGATTGGCCGCTTTCCTGGATCTGATCCCCCTAGCAAAGCCATGAAAGCATTAGAAGATTTGGATGTCTATGTTTGCCCACATATATATGGAAAAACGGAGGCTCGCTCCATGCTCAAGAGTATCACAGAAGGTCCGGATGTGCACCCTGTATGTAAACACATCATCGGTCATGGACATGTGGTAATGAGGGAGGATGTACGCCTACGATCAAGATGCCAACAAGACGGATGTGCGGCGACACTTCTCGTCATACTAGACGAGTTCGGTGTGATGATTCAGGTGATCAATGAACTGCAGATGACGACGGTCATGACGGAGGACTGGCAGGTGAGCACTCAAACCCCTGCCATTTGAGCGGATTGAAGAGACTACTTCACGCTGAAAGAGATTATGAATCAAAACTTTGTCTGCCAAAACAGCAGTTCATGATCTTGTCAACAGCACGCACAAACGAAGCGGCACCAAAAGATCCACCAGCAGACGAGATACACCTCCGAGAGCCCATCTATCCATCACAGAATCACACACCTTCCCCCCCTCTTGTCTTTCCCCTCTCCATCCACACTCTTCCTCTCTTCTCCTTCCCTTTCCCTCCTTCCCCTTATCAAAATCTCATCATCCACCTCTTTTACACCCCCAACATACTCACCCCTTAGCATCATCTCAACCTCCTCAGTCAACCTTTCAATACCCGCTACAGTCCCGAGCCCAATATGTTCTATGTGGCCTTGCTCGATAGGCGCGGAAAGACCTTGCAGAATGGCGTGGTATCTGTTGATGTAGGGTTCAAAGGCAGGGGAGTTGCGTCGCTGGGCTATGTTGATGATGATAGAGCAGCGCTGGAGGGCTCTCGTTAGACGGGGGTTTGTAGGCGGCAAGCTAGGGGTACTAGGCGGAGAACTCGTGGGGTTTTCGGTAGCTGGTTTTGACGCCATCATTCGTAGTATGTAGAAAAGCAGTAGGGCTGTGTCAACGGTTTATGACCAGGTTTTGGAAGTACTAAATCAGAACCAGAATGTCAGTAAGCTCATCACTGGTGAACAACTGCGTCATCACAGCCGTCACAAGCCGTCATTCATAGCTGGTCGTAAGCTGGCAAAGTGTCTCCAGCGACACCTGGAAGCAAAACGTACCATATTTGTCTCAGTCACAAAACGTCACATACCTTTGCAGCACAGCAGCCGGAACATACCTACTCACCACGTGGCATACTCTCAAATGTCCTCCACTCAATCCACACATACACCCTCTGCGCTTCTTCCTCCACAGCCACAAACTCGCCACCATGAAACACCCATTAATGTTTGCCCGTCGAAATTCCGCACCAACAGAACACTCAGCCCTCCTCCCACCACCACCC